AGCTTGATGTTTACCCCTATTTCCTGTTGGAGGCAGACTTCAAGGTACAGCTTCAGGAACCCGATGATGGTCACACAGCTACCCAGGCCACACCTAGCACCTCACCAGGCAGCCCTGGACCACTTTCCTGTATCTGGGACTCTAGAGCCTGTTTCCTGTGCCCCGTGTCCCAAGCTGTGCTCTTGATTGCTCTTGGTGAGCACATAGCCTTCCCTGATCCTTTTTACCCCTGCTGTGAACTTCCTTTGTCACCCCTCTGGTCAGTAGATACACGGTGTGGTCAGTGTTTCACCAGGGAGGCGACTGACCCAAGTGAGGCAGTGATGCCAAGGGAATGAGCCAGTGTGTGCGAAGGGGCGGGGCTCTGCCCTGATGAAGGCTCAGGTACAATGCTGTGGACCTTGGCTTCCAGGAGAGCATGGGAGGAAGGGGCTCAGGAAGGAGGAGAGGCTGATGGGGTAGATGGCCCTGCAGGGCTCTAAACTGTCCTCCAGCTCAGCAGGATTTGCTTTCCTGGGTCTCTTCCCACATGGCTACTTTTCCCTTAAAGGAAAAAAGAAATCTGTAGGTCTGTGAGCTGGTAAGTTACCTCTGAAAGGCAGCACTGAAGATGGTGCTGTTCAAGGAGCTTAGCTTTGGTCATATGATCCAGGACTGGCCTCTGGAATATAAACTGAATAAGTTACGGCCTCCCCAGGTTGAGATGGTGAGGGACAGTGAGAAGTGTAGGCTGGAGAGGAGAGGAGGAGGAAGGGGAAACCAGTGGCTTCAGCGGCTCCTGAGCCATCTGACAGGACAGAGGTGGGATTGACCCTCCCTGGCTCCCTTCCACAGTGGGCACAGGTCTGGAGCTACCCACCCACTCCCTTCCTCTTCCCTTCCCACACTGAGCATCGTAGTATCGTACAGAATGGGAAACTGAGAGCTCTGATAGCCTGAGTACTAAGCTTGCCCTGTGCCCTGTGGGATGAGAAGACGTGTAGGAGATCTGCCAGTTAGAGAGGGGCCGAGGGTGGGGGTTCAAGGACAGATGCAGGTGGGGTTGAGGACCACTTTTCGCAAGGTATTAAGTTCAGTCCTGGCAACTGACTCTCTCAAGGGCATATTGTCCCCAGTTAATGCTGGAGACAAACCAGAAAGGAAGGTGTGGAGAGATTTAAATAAGCAAGCTGTGCCCGAGCCATCCCAAACTCCCCTGTCACTCAGCGCAGCCAAGAGCCATCCAAAGCCTGCTCTCTGTACTTCAGAACAGACCAGATGTGGCAGTTTTCAGGGAACTTAGTGCTCCTTTTACGGGAGATCTGCCAGGCCAGGTCAGTCTTCCACCTTAGATCGCTAGACGCCTTGTGGGCACGAAGGACAGAGGAGCTGCAGGGCTCTGCAACCACCAGGCTCTAGGTAAGTCACAGGATCTGCTCTCATGTGAATTTGAGAAGATGCTAGATAGGTGTTTTGTTTGATTTTTTTCAGTGCTGGCTATATGCAGAGACTGGGCTAAGGCCTTTTTAACTAGTCCTCAAAGCCCCAGAGGAGCAAAGCCACATTTACTCTCCCGATTGCACTAAACCAGACCTCCTATAAACGCCCATCGACACCAGGCACGGGTGAAGTCTGTGTTCTGTTATATACACAACTACAAATGAGCTCTAAAGTCCTTCCTCACTGTGCAGAGGCCTGGTCTGCAGCTCTTCTCCCAGGGGTGTCTGATGGTAGAGGCTGAAGGTCCTGGCTCAGGTGAAGATTAAAGACTGTGCCTTTTAGTGACAGTTGACCAGCATTGTTCTCGAGTGGACAGTGTGGTGAGGTCTGCATGGAACATGAAGAGTGGTTGAGGTCAGGTCTCTGCCACTGAAGTGTCGCTAAGGAGATGGTTCTGTATATAAAAACTAGCACTATCTGGATGTTTATGGAGCTAAGCTGCCAGGAAAAAAAACAGTGTTTTCCAAAAACTTCAGGGCCTGTGCAGAACACAGCATTGTTCTCTCTGCTTTCCAAAGACTGGTGACCATGGAGCTCAGTTGTTCCCACCATGCCCTGATCATCCCCAGCTTGTATTTGGGGGAGGGCATGGAGTGGGGGAGCCCTATTTCAGTCCTACAAGGGTTTCTCTTTGGAACTCAGGCATGAGCTCCCTCATCAGGGCTAGGAGTGGATTTCAGGACAGAGAATCTAGTGGTGCTGGCACTCAGAGAAGAGGTTCGTGTGCCCCTCCGAGAGGCAAGCCATGCCTTCTACTAGTTCTCTCCTGGGTTGACCTCAGCACTATACCCACATGATGTAGAGGCTGAGGCATCTTCATTCAAGTGCTGATGAGCTGAGAACTCCTCCCTGAGTCCCAGAGACACGTGTGAACAGTCAGGAGAGGCTGGAGTCCTGAGTCCCGGAGACACGTGTGAACAGTCAGGAGAGGCTGGAGTCCAGGGAGGCAGTCAAGAAGAGGTAAAAGGGTTTCAAGGCAGACAGTTCACATGCAGACTGCAGAGAGCTGTGCTAAGCAACAGGTGTTCTCCAAACAAGTCTTCCCATCTGCACTGGAACACACGGAATGTGTTTGTGTTCTGTGAATGATCTCATGCTCCTGTTAAGCAAAGGAGTCTTGTGGCCATTGGAAATGCGATCTCACCTATGTTCTTAAATGGTGAAGCAAGAGACTAAGCAACCAGCAGCCACTCTCCCCAAGGCTGAGACGGCCACGGTGTATGTGTGTGTGTGTGTGTATGTGCGTGTGTATGTGTGTGTATGTGTGGGGGGGCTCCCTTCTTTTTTTTTCCTAATCGTGTTTTAACCTTTGTGTGGTGTGAGGATTGTTATACATATGCCTCTGATGGCCTGTGATGTGGTTCCACGGGAGGTAGGCAGGCTGAGAAGATAGGGAAGCCCTCAGCCTAGTGAGCAGTATTTTTCTTTTAAGTCTTATACCCCTTTCTCATTTAGTAATTTAATGGTATATTATGATGTGTATGTATAAGCACATCCATAGAAGGCAAGCTTTCTTTTCTTAGTATCCAGAAAATCCAATTTTCCACCCGTTGAGGTCTCTTTAGGAGGGTCACAGAGCTTCCCAGCCATAGAAATAGTTGTGAACTTTCCTGGAAAAGCGGCCTCCAAGGTCTGCATGTTTCTTTGAGTCCCCTTGTGGTGAGAAATCCTTGTCTTCTGAGAATGGGTTTAAGTCCTAGAAATAATCTCAAATTGTTCATAGCACAGATGAATGAATACAGAGAACTCCAAGGTGAAGCAGAAATCCTGTGGTGGGAGAGATGGCTCCGTCGATAAAGGCACTGCTGCCAAGGCTGATGACCTGAGTTTGAGTCCCAGGATCCATGTGGTGGAAAGAGAGACCTGATTCCTGAAAGCTGTCCTCTGACCTCCACATGCATGCACGGCACATACATATACACTCATGAACACAAAATAAATATTTTTTAAAAAATTTTAAGAGAATATCTAAGACATGTTGGAAAAGAGACTTTGGACTCAAAGCCTCTGACCTCTGAACCTGGTGATTCAAGGAAGGACTGTACTCATTAGTACGTGTGACTGCTAGGAGCCTCATTTTCAAATCCACATCGCTTGCCAGGCCTCGTATGTGTTCACACCCCTACATACACTACGGACCTAAGTACATATTCACTAGTGTGAACAGCTGGTAGGTATTCTGTGAAATGGAGATATACCTAAGTGCATGTTATCGTCATGTGTGCTGTGACTGGGGTGCCATGTCTTTGTCATGAGACTTTGCTTCTTCTCAGAGTTAAGGCTCTGCCCTCTGATCAAGGCAGTTCATATACAGCATTTTCTTGTATCAGCTCCTGGAGTTTTGCCGCCTAGTGTTGTGTTTACATGTGACTTTGCCTAGGACTCTGTTCTCACACACATACCTGTGAGTATTTATTACAAAGTGAAATGGGAACAGGTTTGTCCACAGTGGTTTTATTTGAATGGAGGTGTTTTTTGCTTTCGAGGAGGGATGGTGCAGCCCCTTCCTCAATGAGGCACTGACAGAATCAGTGGCAAATTCTGTGAAGTAGGGCCGACGCAGGCTCCAGCTTCAGCCTGACTTGGAGCCCCTGCCCCTCCTGTCCTGTGCGTGTCACTGTGTTGGAGGTGTGTGCCACACTTCCTGGTAGATTCTGGTATCCAGGCATAACCTTTGGCATCTTTGTGTCACTGGACTTTTATCAAGGGGTAGAATACAGATCTGTATAGCTGGATGGGTCCGTGTGCAGAAAGAGGGAGTCCAGGAACACTGTGGGTCTCTTGCCCCATGAATATGGATACCGTCGGTCAGCCAAAGATTTTCCTATCCTTTGCTGCTTAAACTTGTGCCTTAATATTGTATATAATAAATGGATAAAACAGCAGAGTGGCTCCTTCCCTTTCCCCTGTCCTTTCCTCTCCAGGTAAACAAAGCATTAATAAAGGCCTGTGTGGAGGAGCTCCTCGTGGTTCTGGCCCCAGAGCTCATGGCTGCCCAGTGGCCATCGGCCCACACTGGCACTGGCTGTGGATTCCAATGAGTCATGAACCGCTGCTGGAGTTGGCAGCCCGTGCTCACTGGCCCTGGGATGGATGAAGGGGGAAGAAGAGCGGGAGACTGGGCTGGGGAAGCCATGCCATCTCTGACCACACGTGAGCATCCTCCGGGGGTTCATGGATTCACTGGTCTGTGACTGTTGGAAACAGCTCTGCCTTGGGATGTGCACCAGGGACCAGCCACAGTCAGACGTGCCCAGTGCCCCAGGATAGACAGGAAGATGATAGCTGCTTGGTTAATGTCTTGAGTCACAAGAGAATCCGTGGGGAATGTTGACAGCAAGGTGTCACATGATAAACTAGAATTCAGACCAGGCTCCTCGGTGACCAAAATTGAGCAGAGTAACTGTTAAGGGAGCCCACACACCGCAGACACAGGCACCCCGGTGGGGTAGGGACAGTGACTAGGTATCCAGGGTGATGGGTGCCGTGAGCGCTGCTTACCCACGTCTCCTTGGAGCTGAAGCCCCTCTCCTCACCCTTCTCTGGTCCTAGCATCAGGGGAGCTTCCTAAGCACAAGTTTAGGAGAGTGTGAAGGAGGCATCTCCAGACCCCCGTGAACGCAGTGTGGGCCCCTTCCGTTCCCTCAACAGTCTACTGCCACCCCCCTTAAAGACAAGGAAACAGGCTCAAACATGCAGAGGGCGGCAGGTCTGGTCTACCTGACATAAAGTTGGGGAGCTTGCCTGCAAAAGGTATTTGGGTCCCTGGAGGCAGGAGAATGCGGACCCCTGTCTGCCTGGCGGCTTCTATATCCTGCCTTCTACCCAAATACATCCTTTGCAGGGAGCTGAGTTTCTTTAACAGGGGGTGGGTGGAGGGATAATCTTCCACATATTTACATAAAATTGAATAAGCAATTGTCTAAAATACTTGTTATTAAGCAGCTGCTACTTGGGTTGATGTTACTTGGTCTTGGGTGTTAGATTTTTTTAACTGTCGTCAGCATCGAAGCAAGGAAAATTGGTGATTCTGAAGATGAAATTTCTGACGGAATGATCTGTGAAGGCACATTAAGAATGCAAGCAAATTCAAGCAGCACATTCATTGCTCAGAAAACACTGTTTCCAGAATTTGCTTTGAGCATTTCTGCTTTTTCCATTGGGTCGACTGTCCAGAACGCCCTCTCGTCCGTGTTCCCAAATCTAACTCATTGCTTAAGGTGAGGCTTCCCTCAGGAAGATGTTCCAGGTTTCCAGTGTGAGAATGGAGCGCCGCTCTGCTGACACACACAACGCTCTGCTGAGTCAGTCCTTGGGATGTAGCGAGAGCAGAGCTGTGATGCGTGGAGTGCGTGGAGCACACTTAGGCTGGTCACGGGCACCAGTGCCGTTCCACAGCAGATCCCGCAGCCCTGGCTGCAGCCTGCCTCTGTTACCGTGAACTACTTAATGAGCATCCATCAACACATTTGTCTGGCACGGACCCAGAGTAGATGCTCATTAAAAGCTGAGCTGACTGTGAAGTGCTCCAAGTATCTCACCACATATGTTCAGTGCCTGTTGTCACAGACACCGGAAGAAAAGGTCCTATGGGGAAATGACAGAAGTAACACATATTTGTTATGAAGACAACCGAAAGACATAGACAAAGAGAAGTCATTCCCACGTTAAACCCTGAAGTAGCCATTGTTAGCAGCTTGGGAGATTTCCTTCTAGACTCTCTACAGATGTGTTCAAGCCAGTGGCTATATGGAGACCTATGTGAATGAATAGTAATTTAAACAATGGGCTTTTCACTAAATACTAGGTCTTAGATTTCCCAGACAGCACACATAGATCTATCACTTCATTTATGGCTATATAGTATTCCTTCGTATCAAGGAACGAGGTTCCAAAGTGCTGCTTTGCTGCCACCTGACCCACCCTCCGGCATTTCCCTAGCAGTGAAGGGGAAGCTGAAGAAACCCTTGGTGTTTCCCTGAGAAAGAAGCCAAATCTGCAAACATAAGCTAGGCCTCGACCTGGGTCGTGAAGGGCCTGAGGCATCCGGCTGTGCGGATGTCAGACTGCGCAGACAGCACAGTGGCTAGGCTGACAGACACATATATGTGGCGAACCTTCTGACGGATGCATGGGAAGAGGCCTGTCCTACAACTGTATCTGTGAGACGAAGCTGGCAGCCACACGGGCTTCGCCTTCCTGTGCTGGAGGGCCCCAGGGGGCCGAGGATGCAGCTACACAGACAAGGTGAGGAGGACGCCCAGTGCTGCCCCCCGTGGAGTTCCCAGGGCTTGGGTGCCCTGCAGTGTAAGGATTCAGTCTCCCATTGGACGACCTGATTTCTGAGTTCTTGCTTCAGGACTTCCTGGATAGGCAGCTGGTGGGACCTGAAAGAAGGCATGGCAGAGGCTGGGGCATGGGGCATGTGTCATGCAGATGCATGGTGGACAGAATACGGCGGTGAGATCCCAGAAAAGATGATAGAGTAAAGCCGGTGGACAAACCCTGCTCTCGGGAGATGCTTCCACAGGAGTTCATCCTGAGGAGTTCAACTCAGTCTCCACTGGGATCAAGGGGCCGGGACGCTCCATGCCAAAGCAAAGTTTTCCCATGATGCCACTCTCCTTTCCAGCCATACTGAGCTGGGTGATGGCATCTTTTTCTTTATTTTGAAATGAACTGAGCTGCTCAGTCCTCAGAGTCTACATTCCAGATTGAAAATTTGTGTGATTTTTATTTTGTTTTGGGGGGAGAGGATGGGTTTAGAGAGGAAGAACAGGGTACACCGTGTTTGTACAAAGACAGATATAAGGTCCTGTGGAAATCTACATATGGCAGCCTCCCAGGGGGGCCACAAGCCGAGCCCCTTCCTCATCGCGCCCTCATTTCTGCTATCGTTGAGCACACCATCACCACCAGCAGAGGCCTCTGTCCTGCCCTGCCTTCCCAGAACCCCTGACCAGGCTCCAAAGGAGCTGATGGAGTTTTTACCCTCCTCTCTCTCCAGGCTCTTCACTCTCTCAACCTAGTTTTACTTTGAGAGGGATTAGATGGCGGCTAGAACTAGTGTTAGTAGCTTACTTTAAAACAAATAAATAAACAAATTTAGATGTCAGCACTTTTATTTCGATAAACAAAAATCACCTTTTCTATTTCTTCACGTGATTCTATCGTGTCTCTGCTGGATTCGAGAGTTCAGGCTTGGACACAGGATGCAACTTGCCTGTGCAACTGGTGTTACATGAACATATCGGCAACCACAGAAGTAAACAGAATTTGCAAAGCTGCTACTCGTCCTATGCCTCTCATCCAGCCCACCACTGTATTCTGGAAGGAAGGATGGTGCGTACTGCATTGGGAGTTCTGGTAGCAAACACACAAAATCCACCTCCATAGTCACATACATGTTCTCTGTAGAGCAGCACTGAGCATGGATGGACAGCCAGGAAAGAGGAATGCTCTACTTGGTAACATCTCCAGCCCATGCGTAACTTTTTTTTTTTCCTAAAGAGCACGTAAGCATTTTTAAAAAATTATTTGGTATGTATGCATGTGTTGCCTGCATGTAGGTCAGTGCACGTGTGTCATGCAATGCCCGTGGAGGTCAGAAGAAGCTGTCAGATCCCGTGGGACTGGAGATACGGACAGTTGTTAGCTGCCATGTGGGTGCTGGGATTCGAACCCGGGTCTTCTGCAAGACCATCTCTCCAGCCCCATCTGTGAGCATCTTTTGCATTGACACCATTTAGAGAAGCAGTGGGGAGCAGGTGTGGTTCATTTTCACACAGCAGAGAGGAAGGAGAACAAGAGGCCGGGGTGTTCAAAGACCACTGTGAACCACTAACACTGTCACTGGAACCAGGCCTCCTGCAGTCCCCTTGGAGCTCTGGGGGACAAGGAGGCCATCTGTGCTGATATGGTCCAATCATGGAGTCCTCTGAGAGCCTTGCATCCCACCCTGCCTGTGAATCGGGCAGAAGGGGTAGACGGTCGGGATCAACCAGGAAGGCACCTGGGAGGAGTCTCACAGCCTTTCTTGTCTTTCTCAGGAGTCAGTTGCTTCCTTAACGCCACTACGTACAGCTGGGGTGTTGGGACTTCCCCAATGGTAGCACCAGGACAGTAGAGCCAGTATTGTGACATCACAGAAAAAATGCTTGGGGACACTCACTTTGATGGCCTCGAAAACCTCTGACAGTGATAGCACTGCCATAGCAGCAGGTTGGCGGGTACAATCTGACAGGGGCTCTACCCCCAGGAACAACAGAGCTGACTAACACAGGTCTATTTGCCTGTGAGAGAGGCTTGGAGAAACACCATCATCAGTTTGGTAACTCCACATCACAGGAACACACATCAAGGCTGGTTCTTCGTGGTTTTTGTATGAGAATGTACACAGCATCACAAATAATTCATGACGGTAATTTATGCTCAGAAACGTACGCAGGTGCAGCACATAATAGTTCCACATAATTATACTGCATTAGATGAAGGAAGATGCTGTGCCTGGACCCCAGAAGCTCACAGTCTGGGTGAAAAGACAGGAGGGACTGCAGTACATTATAGGCTGCACAGGAGAGAGAAAAGAGGATGATGCTTCAGCTGGACGTAGGTGGATGAGGAGGAGAAACAGCTCCAGGACTGATGTGCACAGAGGCGTATGTTTGTGGTTGTAGTGCTACAGTCTGGACAGGATATGGTAGATAGTTCATCACTGCTTGGTCCCCGGGTGGCTCTAAGGCTGGGGGATAGCACGGGGGTCTGAGATACCTGCGTCTCTTTGGTCTCTCGCAGGATCATTCCAGCATGGTGGATTTAGGGGAGCTGGACTCTGCAGAGTGGCTCAGGCTGTTCCAGGAACATGGGAGATGACTCCAGGCAGATA